AAAAATCTTTAAAAATCCACACCTTTTAAAAAATTCATAAACGATTCTCACTTATTGGCCTTTAAAAAATTCTTTAAAAATTTACGCCTTTTTGCCTTTACAAAAGTCTTAAATAAGTCCAAGCCACTTGGTCTAAAAGTGGTCTTTGAAAAATTCACGCCTTTTGGCATGAGAAGGCCTTTAAACAATTCCTAAGAGATCCACCGAGTTTTGTCCAAGGATGACCTTAAAAAAAATTCCTTTAAAAACCCACGTCTTTAGAAAATTCTTAAAAAACTCCCGAGCCTTTTGGTCTAAGAAGGCCTTTAAAATTCTTTAAAAGCCCACATCTATTTATACGCCTTTTAACCTAAGGATATTTAAAAAATATATATGAACTCCTAGACATTTTCTATTGAATGTCTTCAACATTTGACTTTCTTCCATTTTCTAAACGGATAAAATTCTTAAGACCTTTAATAACAATATGGGACCCTATAGAATCTTCTGTGCCTTATTTTAAAAAAAAAAACTATTTTTTTCACCCTCATTAGCTTCACTTAGTCTAAATTTCTATTTCGCAATTTTTCCTCGCTGATATATTTTTTCTCTACACAATATTGTGTCATTCTTAGCATTGAAGAATTTGTTTTTGTGTTGTTTTGTTTTGTTTTGTTTTTCATTCGAGACAAAAACAAAAAAAAATTGCACATAGACCGATTAATAGACGCCGACATTAGACAAAACAAACATTAAATGTATTCTCCTCTCCCAATCCCCACATACGCCCCCACCCCCCACAAAAAACTACCGGTAAAAATATGAATTCAACATAGAAAACAATTTTAAAACACCATGGCAAAAACACATGTCTATGCGGCTGGCTATCCAAAAACAATTACAACAACAACAAAAACGAAGAGTAAAAAAATTACATATGAACAAACAACTTTGACTTATTTACAGGCCATTCACCGTGCTGTTTAACTGTCATACAAAAGTGCATATACTGCTAGTTGCGCCGCCGACCACGACCACGACCACGAACCGAGTCGTTGTCGTCTCAATTTTTTGTTCTCCTCCATCAGCGATATTATCATCATATTCGTCGTCTCGCGTACTACTCAAATTGCATAGACATTGATTGCAGGGCAATAAACAGAGAAATATGTATTGAAAAAAATTGCAATTATTGGCAGCGCAGTGTTTGAACGACAGTAATAAAATATCCTCACCCCACCCCATTTTATTTTACTTAACATAGAGTGGCCAGCCACCTACTACATTTGCATGTCTATGTATGCCGTTGAATGATATCAGCAATGCATGTAAGCCACAACAACAGCAAGCATTCATTGTTGTTATTGTTATAAGAAGAAAAAATGAAAGAATAACATCACACAGCAGCAGCAGCAATAACAACAACTACAAAGACCCCCTACATTACATTGGCACATTGGGGATAGTGTGTGAGAATAACAAAGCAGCACACATTCACCCAGAAACAGAGAAACTGAGAGTGAGAGTCATATGACCGACCGAACCAACACGAGGCAGCCACTTCATTTGCATTCATCGGCTGCTCCACTTGTTTCTGTAACATTCTCCAACGACATTAACACAACAACCGCTCATTCAACAAATTTACCCCCACCAACACCACTACTACTACTACTACTAGTGGGGGAAAAAAGAAGGAGTGTGAGAGAGAGCTACCATAAATGAGCACTTGATTTGAGAAATACCTTTGTAATAATCAACCAAGTGGCTGTGTAACAAAAAAAAAATACAGAAATTAAATCAAAAAGTGAATGAGTGGAAAGCAGTGTATGTGAGAAAAAGAGAGAGAGAGCGGGCGTGAGAACAAGAGCATATGTGTGTAATTGTAACAGAACGAAAAAAAAAACCCAAATCAGTGTCGTCTCGTGCATTTAGTCTTAAGGTTGTTTGTTGTGAGTTAATTAACAGGCAACTGGCAATTATTTTCTTTGAAAATTAAATATTTTCGTAATTAATTAAAAGGGAAAAAGTGAAGAAAAACTGAAATAAAGTAACAACAATAAAAAATCCAATAAATCGCATAAAAAAAACTAAAGAAAATGTGACTTTATCAAAAGCCAAGATATAGAAAAACGCAAAAACCCAAAGAAAAAAAGTAAATAAAAAAAAATTGTTAAAAAGTGCTAAAATCAAAAATACAAACCACCTCCACAATGCACGGCATTACCCATTTGTATCGTCAGCATGCCATTGAGAAGCAATTAAGCTCCGATTCATGGCAGAACGGTGTTGCTGGCCAGCATCAGCATCATCATTTGCATCATCAGCATACGTCATACGGACGTAGTTATAGCCGTGACAGTGATACCTCATCGGTGTTCAATAGCAGCAGCGGTGGTGGTAATACAAGCAATAATGAATATTCGCTGAACAATGGTGCCAATCACTCCAGTTCCAGTTCGAATTCATCGACCAATTCGAAATCGCCAAATTCGTCACAGGGTAAGAATAAAAGAGGGGGAAATTAATATTTTTTTCAGAAAAATTCTGAAAAAGTAATATTTTTTATTAAAAAATATGGAGGAGACACCTCTCCTATTGAAAATAGAAGGTCTAAAGAGGTATTCTATAGGCAATAGGAGGTCGTATAAGGTATCGTATTTAAAGTAGGAAGCCTTAACGGGTCCCCTATTTGAAATAGGAGGTGTTAACAGGTATCCCATTAGAAATAGGAAGCCTTAACCGGTCTCCTATTAACAATAGGAGGCCTTAACAGGTCTCTTATGGACAAGTGGATGCCTTAACAGGTCTCCCATGGCCAATTGGAGGCCTTACCAGGTCTTATATGGGCAATTGTAGGCCTTAGCAGGTCTCCTATTGGAAAAAGGAGGCCTTAAATGGTCTCATATTTCCAATAGTCGATCTCCTATTGGATATAGGAGGCCTTAACAGGTCTCCTATTGTCAATAGAACATCTGTTAAGGTTTCCAATTGTCAATTGGAGACCTGTTACGTTCTCCTAATGTCAATAGGACATCTGTTGATATTTCCCATTGTCAGTAGGACACCTATTGATGTCTCCTATTGTCAATTGGACACCTTCTAAGGTCTCCTACTGTCTTTAGGACACCTGTTAAGGTCTCCTATTATCAATAGGACACCTGTTAAGGTCCCCTATTATCAATAGGACATATGTTAAGGTCTCCTATTGGAAATAGGACATATGTTAAGGTCTCCTATTGTCCAATTGGTCGCCTGTTAATGCATGCTATTGTTAATAGCACGCCTGTTTAGGTCTCATATTGTCAATAGGACACCTGCTAAAGTCTCCTCATGTCAGTAGGTCACCTGTTAAGGTCTCCTATTGTAAATAGGACACCTGTTAAGGTCTCCTATTATCAATAACATACTCCTTAATGTCTCCTATTGCCAATAGGACACCTGTTAAGGTCTCCAATTTTCAATAGGACACCTTTTAAGGTCTCCTATTGTCAATAGGACACCTTTTAAGGTCTCCTATTGCCAATAGGACACCTGTTAAGGTCTCCTATTGCCAATAGGACACCTGTTAAGGTCTCCTATTGCCAATATGACACCTGTTAAAGTCTCCTATTGTCCATAGGACACCTATTGAGGTATCCTATTGTCCATAGGACACCAGTTGAGGTATCCTATTGTCAATAGGACACCTGTTGAGGTATCCTATTGTCAATAGGACATCTGATGAGGTTTCCTATTATCAATAGGACACCTGCTAAGGTCTCCTATTGTCAATAGGAAACTCGTTAACGTCTCCTATTGTCAATAGGACACCTGTTGAGGTCTCCTATTGTCAATAGAACACCTGTGAGGGACCTCTCATTCGTTCCATTAAAATAAAAACGTTTGATTTTTCCCTCTCTGCATAGACAAAGTTCCCGACAATTGGTCGAGTCTACATTCTAGTCCCCAACCGGTGCCCGACACACAAAGATCCATCAGCAATCATTATCGGAATTCTCCCACCCATAATGGTTGTTCATCGCGCAGTTCCTATGACAATTATAGTAGTAGTTTTAAGCGTACACCATCATCGAAGCGATCCATCTTCGATCGTGCCCATAGTCCTGCCGTTTATAGTGTAAGTCCTTGGAGGATGTTTTGAAATAACAAAAAAAAAATATTTAATGAATTCCTTTCACAGAGTCTTCGCAACAAACCCTCTTTGGCCGATTACAACAACTCACCACCCCCTGCCACGGGAGGATATTTCCCTCACGACCTGGACGACATCTATGAGGGCCAAAATGATCATCAGTATTTCACATATTCGGGTGCCTCGGCCCATCAAAGGAATCAGGAAAGGCCTAGCATTAATTCCATTTTCCATAGGGTTGGTGCTGCCCCCGCCTCGCTGGATGAGTATGCCACCAGTCCGAATCAGCACCATTCACTGGATGGTAGTGTGGGCGGCTATTTACGGCACCGTTTCGATAACTCCAGTTTTGTGCGCTCCATAAGTATTAACGAAGACGAAGCCGAGGCCGACAAGACATCCTCGCCCAAGGACCACAAAACTCATAAACACCACCATCATCACCATTCGATTCAGGAAATGCTTAAGCATTTCGGTAAGAAGGTACATATTTGGCCGCGTAAATCACACGACCACACCACCAACAGTGTGTGTACGTCGCCGCAAAATGATCCGCAGGAAAATTTCCGTTCGCGTTCGAAAAGTTTGGATGTGAATACTTTGCGTCGGCCCAATCGAATTTTGGAAGATTGTGGCGCCACCTATAAGATATATGATAAAATCTTAAAAGAAGGTAATAACAAAGGTAAACAAAGAGAGAACTTGGGTGTTGTGGAACTAAGAAATTTGGTACTTGCTTTTCGTTCGGCTTATTTGTTAGTTAGTTAGTTCTTTTTTTTTCGTATCTCTTTTGGGTTTTCTTTGATTTATTCAATTTTTGCAATATTTTGATTTTTTTGGAGATTGTGCTAATGGATTTTTTTGGTTCCTTTTTACCCCTCCCTAGGTGCTCATATGCGTCGCGCCTCTGCTGACCTAGAGAAACGTCGTGCTTCCGTCGGTGCTGCTAGTCGAGGCTTAAGGGGTGATGGCACCCTGGATCCACATCATGCTGCAATATTGTTCAGAGATTCAAGAGGGGTAAGTGAATAAAGTATAAATCAAAAAAAAAATAGTGGCTAAGTTCCTAGGACGGTCCACAAATCTGCGACTCAAAGAGAAATAATATTTTCGACAAAAAAAAAACAAATAAATCAAAAAAAGAGATTCTAAAATTGTGACCCCTTGTGGGGAAGGTACCAGAAGGAGTGATCCGATATTTACCATCTTCACAGCGGATATTGTGTAAATAAAAATATTGGAATCTGTGAAATTTGAAGAAAATCGGGTGCTTATTTCGCATTTTATGAGCGTTTTGGTTATTCCAAAATGTGACCCCTTTTGTGGGGGAGGTACCAGAAGGAGTGGTTCAATACAGTTCATTTTCACACCAGCTTTTGTGTTGATTGAAATATTGAGACGTGCCGAGTTTGAAAGGAATCGGAAGCTTATTTCGGATTTTATGAGCATTTTATTTATTCAAAATTGTAAGCCCTTTGTGGGGGAGGTACCAGAAGGAGTGGTCCGATATGTTCCATTTTAAAACCACATTCTGTGCTTATAAAAATATTGGGTTGTACAGAGTTTGAAAGGAATAGGATACTTATTTCTCATTTTATGAGCGTTTTGTTTTTCAAAATTTTAACCCCTCTGTGGGGGAGGTACCCGAAGGTGTAGGCCGATGTCTACCATCTTCACATCGGAGTATGAGTTAGTGGAAATATTAGGATTTGTAAAATTTGAAGAGAATCGGATGATCATTTCGCGTTTTATGAGCGTTTTGGTTATTCCAAAGTTTAACCAATTTGTGGGGGAGGCACCCGAAGGAGTTGTCCGATATATTCCATTTTCACACCAGCTTTTGAGTTGATAAAAATATTGGGATTTGCCGAATTTGAAAAGAATATCATGTTCTTTTTTAATTTTGTGAGCGTTTTCTTATTCCTAAGATTGAACCCCTTTGTGGGGGAGGTACCAGAAGGGATGGGCCGATATCCATCATCTTCACACCAGATCGGGCCTTAGTAAAAATACTGAGATGTGTGAAATTTGAAGAGAATCGAATGCTTATTTTGCATTTTATGAGCATTTTTGTTATTAAAAATTTTAACACCTTTGTGGGGTAGGTACCAGAAGGCGTTGACCGATATATACCATCTTCACACCAGATCGTGGTTTGATAAAAATATTCCTCTCTGTATAATTTGAAGAGAATTAGATGTCTTTTTCTCATTTTATGAGCGTCTTTATTATTCAAAATGTTAAGCCCTTTCTGGGGGAGGTACCAGAAGGAGTGGTCCGATACATTCCATCTTCACACCCGATTTTGTGTTGATAAAAATATTGGACAGTGTGGAGTTAAGACTGAATCGATAGCTTATTTCGCATTTTATGAGCGTTTTATTTATTAATAATTTTGACCCCTTTGTAGGGGAGGTACCCGAAGTAGTGAACCGATATCCATCATCATCACGCCAGATCTTGCGTAAATAATAGTAATATTGGGATGTGTGAAATTTGACGATAATCAGATATTTATTTCGCATTTTATAAAAGTAATACTTATTTCAACATTTTGATCCTCTGTGGGGGAGCTACCAGAAGGTGTGGGGGGTCCGATATATTCCATTTTCACACCAGATCTTGTGTTGATAAAAATATTGAGATGTGCCGAGTTTGAAAGGAATTGGATGCTTATTTGGTATTTTATGAGTGTTTTGGCTATTCAAAATTTTGACCGGGAAAATGTTGACCTTTTATGGGGGAGGTACCAGAAGGAGTGAACCGATGTTGCACATCTCTGTACTCGATCTAAGCTTGACAATAATATTACAATGTATCAAGTTTGGACCAAATTGGGTACTCACTTCGGACAGACGGACACCCCTAGATCGACTCCAAATGACCTGGAACAGATTTTGTCGAAAGAGGATTAGGGTATAAAACCGTTATGTCGATGAGGCATGACATGATATATACACTCTGTAGCCATATGTCTGAGGATAAAAAAAAAATCTTAAAATGCAGGTCTGCTGATTTGAAGACATTTTTTACAAAATTCTTGAAAAATCAATGCCTTCTGTTCCCTAGTAAGCCTCTAAAAATTCCTTTAATAAACCATGCCAAATGGCGGCCTTTAAATATTCTTGAAAAAGCCACGCCTTGTGGTTACTGGAATTCCATTAAAAATCCCTACCTTTTGGTCAAAGGATGGCCACTAAAAGCCCAGGTCATTTGGCCTAAGGATGGCCTTTAAAAAATTCTTGAAAAATCCACGACGTCTGTTTATTTTAAAAACTCCTTTAAAAATCCATGCCTTTAGGCCAAAGAATGGCCTAAGAACGGCCTTTAAAAAAAATCTCAAAAGAATCCAAGCCTTCTGGTCACGGAATGGCTTTTAAAAATTCCTTTAGAAATGCATGCCTTTTGGCCAAAGGATGGCCATTAAAAAGCCCAGGTCTTTTGGCTTAAGAACGGCCTTTAAAAAATTCTCAAAAAAATCCACGCCTTCTGGTCATAACTGGATGCCTTTAAAAAACTCTTTAAAAATTTACGCCTTCTGGGCATTGGATGACCTTTAAAAAACTCTTTAAAAAATTCAGGCTTTCTGGGGACTGGATGGCCTTTAAAAAACTCTTAAAAAATCCTCGCCTTCTGGGCCTTTAAAAAAACTCTTAAAAAATGTACGCCCTCTGGACACTGGATGGCCTTTAAAAAACTCCTAAAAAATCCTCGACTTCTGGGTGCTGGATGGCCTTTAAAAAAACTCCGAAAAATCCACGCCTTCTGGGCATTGGATGGCCTTTAAAAAACTCCTAAAAATTCACGCCTTCTGGGCACTGGATGGCCTTTAAAAAACTCTTAAAAAATGTATGCCTTCTGAGCACTGGATGGCCTTTAGAAAATTCTTAAAAAATCCACACCTTCTGGGCAATGGATGGCCTCTAAAAAAACTCTTAGAAAACCACGCCTTCTGGCCTTTAAAAAAACTCTTAAAAAATCCACACCTTCTGGGCACTGGATGGCCTTTGAAAATCCCTTTTTAAAAAAAAACACGCCTCTTGGCCTAAGAACGACCTTTAAAAAATCTTAGAAAATCCACCACTTTTGGTCTGTGAATGGCCTTTAAAAATTTATTTTAAAAAACTCGCATCTATTGGCCTTTAAAAAAATATTTTAAAAATTCTTCCAAATCTTAGAATGGCCTTTAAAAAATTCTTAAAAAAATCCACGCCTTTTGGTCTGGGAATGGACATTAAGAAATTCTTTAAAAATTCTGCTTTTAGGTCTGAAAAGGGATTTTAAAAATTTATTCAAAGCCATCCAAGTCTAAGAATGGCCTTTAAACAATTCCTCAATAATTCATCCTCTAATTAAAAAATTTCCCCTGTATCCACATACATTTTTTCAAAAAATCTGCCATTCTTTAAAAAAATATCCATACTTTCAGCTGTGGAAAAAATGAGGTCTTGTAGTATATGGAAATTCTTAAAAATTCACGTTTGGGTCCTCGGTTACAATCTTGGTCAAATGTGGAAAAATCGCTCTTAGAGACTCGAACAATTTTAAAACGTCCACGAAAGTCACAGGAAGGGCTATGGTTTTTAAAAATCCTTTAAAAAATATCATGCAATGACCTTGGACATAGGGGCCAAAGGATTTTATAAATACTTTAAAAATATAATTTTTAGAATCCTGGCAATGACCTTCGAAAATTCTTGAGGAAACTTACATTTGTAGCCTTGCCTATTGGTCTTTGAAAATTCTTTAAACAGAAATGACGTTTAAAAATTCCTCTTCTTGAGTCTCGAAAAATTCTAAAACAAACCCATTTTTAATGCCTTAAAAGGGGTTCTAAATTTTTAGAATTTATACCCCTCTTAGAATTTTGGAAAATTCTTAAAATTTTGGTGATTGAAGTCTCGGTCTTGATCTTAAAAATCAAGAAAAGCACAGCTTTAGAGCCAAGAAAGGAGCCTTACATGTGGTTTTTGAAATTTTTTATAAAATCCTTAAAAATTGATCCTTGAATCGAAATTCGCACCTGGAATATTGCCCTTAAAAATTCTGAATCGAAAATCTCTTTTCGACATCTAGAAATTCTTAAAAAATCTACGCTAGAGTCTTTGTTATTAACAATTCTGGTAAACCTCTCTTTTCCAAATTTGAACAATTCTGAAGAAATCCACATCCCGGATTAATAATTCTGTTTTTTTTTTTTATAAAAAAATTAGGACTATTTTTTCATAGAAAGAAATTCTCTGGCCTCCAAGTAATAATATTTTTATAAAAAAATACTAAGTTAAATAGATTGATTTTTATAGGCAAAATTTCCGTATTGACAAATTTGTTCTGAAAAAAATCTATGCTTCCATAGCGACCGATTTTTGTCTATAGAAATAATTTACACATTCCTACCGAAATTAATCAATTGTCCAACAATGTTTCATTCCTTGTAAAATCCTAAAATGTAATTGTATCGCCACAGGAGTTGATTATTTCCCAATTACCCAACAATTTTTTTCTCAAGTGACAGACCATTTTTAATTATTTTCATCTCAATTCCTCGAAATCCTCATTAAAATCTCTTATTTAATAATTACAAAGCCTCAAGTCCCTCAATTATTCGGTTTTGTGGTTCACCGCCTACGTCACACTAGCAAAACACCACCCCCAATGAACGAACGAACCATTTAATGAGAAATTATCTCATCGACAAAACATAATCCATGGATTGCGGCAAATAACCTTGAAATCTAACATTTGTTATTAAAATGAGAAGCACTCCCAATTTCCCCTCTGCTCTCCCCTTCTCTTACTCTCTCTCTCTCTCTCTAACAATTACTCACCCACATAACAACATGCAACATGCTCGTTTATACATTACAACGGTACCAACCATTGTGACATATGAATTCTCCCCTCTCTCTCTCTCTCCCCCTACTCTCCATGACCTTGATTAAATGGCAAAATAATAGTTATCGCATCGACGAATACACCTTCACTGTCTCGTAACATCATAAAATTCTGTTGTTTTTGTT